AACAGAAAATAAATAACAGAAAAGAACACCAGGATTAACGTGGTTCGTCACATATGTAACTACATCTATGGGCGAAGACAATTGATATTTTTCACTAAATCAAAGAAATAAAATTACAAGGCAATTTACGTGAAAGAACCAGAAACTCAATATCTCACAAAGCCTTCTTCTCTACAATTTTCTCTCGGTAAAAACCCCCAAAAGTTTCTCTCTATTTTTTTTGGATCAATTTTCTCTCTCTAAAATAACCATTATACAGAAAAACCAAACCCACATAAAGTGGTACGTGAGGCTCTATCTTTTCCCATAACTTTTGGGTACATAAGTTTATCTTTATCTAGTGTAGATGCATATGTCTATCCAAACATAACTAGAAATAACCCAAAAATATAATCATCTTAAATAATATAAACTACCCAAATAAATAGGAAACCTAAAGAGAGATTACGTGTGGGTAAAAGCTTTATGCCCCTACCCCTTGCCAATTTAGAGACATCCAAAATATTTGTTTACTAAAATTTGAATTACATCTCAATAAAATTTGAAATCCTAACCGTAACTTATCTTGGAATTCAAGACAAATCAACATATCCTTGCCCCTTTTAAGCTATGAAAGAACTCTAAATCTCTTAAATACATCTCCACACTAAATTGATGACCCACATGTAATATTGAACTGGTAGTTGATTTGAATTTTGAAGCATTTTCATGGCTCTAAGCATTTTTTTAGGAGCCTGTTTTTGGTGAAGGATAGAAATAAGATTCGACATGGCATTCAAAAACTCCAAATCCTATAGATCAATTGGCCAATCAATGGATGGCCAATATTTAATTTGGCGGTGGCAAGATTTGGAGCACATTTAGAGCTCCAAATTGATTTTGTTTGAGGAGATGCCTTTTAATATATAACTTACAGGGTTAGCAATATGGAACTGCTAAAAACATCCCTAGTTGTTTAGGGTTAGCAACATGAAAATCATTTCTTTTCTTTGTAAACGTTTTTTTTTCTTTTTTTCTTTTTGACACCAAGCAATTAGGCATATTCAAATCAATTGGATTAGGCCACATAACTCTAAACGTGAAAATCATTTCTTTTCCACTTGACTCGGCAAGTTACTCCACAATCTCACTGTGGACCACAACCAAGTCCGAAGCCCCAGCGGAGTTTGGAAACAGTGTTCTCTATAAGATGGTTTTGCTGTTCTTTTCATATTTCCAATTGTTCAATACAAAATCATTTATTTGTTTTTTTTTTTTTCCCTTGAGATTTTATATGTAAATTACTTGATTCATAATGTTAGGTTTCATTTTTTTTTTTTCTGAAATAATCTTTACAAATCGAAAATAACAAAAATATCAGCTCTTCATTCCAAAATTTCAAATAGCAATCGCTATTATTAGTCGATATATCTCTATTTTTTAAAAAAGATAAAACGATTCATTTCAAAATGTTTTCCTTTGATTTTATATGTTCTATGATGTTTTATTATTTTCCATTTTTCTATTTTAATCTCATATTTTTATTAATGGTTATTTGGAACCTTTTATTAAAGGGAAATGTTTATATAGAGCCAAGGCTCTAAACAATCAAATTTGAGCTTACCTCAAAATTTTTACTAAAAGAGGCTGTTTTGATGCCCAAATATCTTTGAATTGATCATCTTGACATTAAGATACATGGACATGAGAAAAAAATGGATTTCAAGTTTTGAAAATGATATACTTTGTAACGCATTTTTTTATCATCAATTTTCAAGATTTTCAAGTTTTCATAATATACTATTTTTTAAGCTTTAAACTTTATAAATAAATATGAAAATATATTTTAAAGCTATCAAAGTGATTTCCAGTATTAAAACTACATTTCTCGACACTATTTAAAGGTAGGCTCTAATTTGATTGTTTAGAGCCTAAGCTCTATACAAACCACACCCTTTATTAAATCATCTCCGGGAGTTATACTTGTTAACCTCAATTTTTTTTGGAAAACCTTTGATTATTCTGATATAACTATTAGTAATTCGATTCAAAACCATCCAAATTAAATTGGGACAAGGAGTGGGCTGTCACGATTTGGAAAACCTCATATTCTGTTTTTTCTTTTTTCCCCTTGTCAAACTTCTATGTTAACTGTATCGTGATCTGATTTGGAATGTCCTAAGTCAGTCAAAGCAAGTGAATCAGAATCAAACCCTGGCGATTCAGGTCCCAGTCCCAAAAAAATTATAGATACCACCAAATTTTTGGGCTTTTTAGGTAGTGCACTCACTAAAAATATTTTTGATACCACACTATCAACTCAAATATTGTGCTTTTCAACACCCCCAAATAAAAAGGTGGACCTTTTTGAACTAAAATACCCTTATTTTTTTGCCACATTTCCCACTTTCTCTCTAAGCCGATTCTTTCGGCACAAAATATATCAGACCAACAGTTTGAGCCGGACCTACTCTATATTCAACTTGTGCAGGCCTGCACAAAAAATGTTGGATCGACACAACTTTTACAGAGCTGGTCTGGCACGTTTTTTGTGTTGCACTGACTCTATATTCAACTTATACTGATTCCGCATGTTTTTGTGTCAGATTGGCACAACTTGTATAGAGCCAGTCTAGCACATTTTTTTGTTGGACCGGCACAAGCCAGTCCAACAAATTTTTGAGTAACACATGTTGGGTGTCATGGTTTGGAAACATAGGTTAGAAAATAAGGAGATGGAGGTATTTTTGTCCAAAAATTATTAAATTTTTATTTTGAAGAGGCTGGTTGCAAAAAAAAAAAATAGCAATGGGGTTAATAGTATGTCATAGAAGTATTGGGGGAGGATACCTAGAAGTACTGGTTGGTAGTTCATATTTGGTAAGTGGCAACTACAAAATATGAAATTTTCTACATGGGTCTAAGTCTGCTCCAAAATTGTACTCACTCTAGGACAGGCAGTCAAGACATCACAAAGACAAAAGAGCTCCATGTTGATGCATGTGCTGTTGTCATTTGGCAAGTAGGTGGACATGGCACACAAGAAGACCAAGGTCCAGAATCTATCCCAAAAAGCTGAAAAATGTAGTATGTAAGAGCATATCATACTGTGAGAGAGAGAGAGAGCTATGGTTCAATGATTTACATCATGACATGATTTCTGAGTCTGTATAGAAATGAGTCATCTCTTAAAAATCTATTTTTGAGATGGATTTTTGGACCTAATTTTTAAGAATATGTAATCTCCAACATGGAGATCATGGATATGAAAAAATAAATAAATTAAAAAATTGAAAATAATAATTTTGTAAAAAAACATTTAAACCGTTAGTTTCAATTATTTTTAGATGGACCACCTATTTGCATCCATTTTTAAAATGGATGTTTTATACCTAAGGGACAGTAAATGCAAAAATGCGGTCCCACGTATGATACGATTTTCCTTTACAACATAGTCAATTTGAACAAGAAAAGAGTTAGCTGTTTACTAGAAGGTGATAAGAAGTCTGAATTTCTCATGTAATTTATGAGAAACAAACTGTGTGTGGACTTGAGACAAGGAACTCACATGTGATTCACGAGGGTTATGACCTTTCTACTTCATTTTTCAATTATAGATAAAGACATAGTGGATAAAAGAACAGATAAGAATCACATCATTGTTTGAAAGTTAGGCTTTTCTCTTCTAAGAGATAATTTTTGGAAGTTACTTGTTTTTGTGTACCCACTGCCCATTCTCTTTGATGGATCAGAGAGGTTAACTACAGTTTCCGTTGACAAATGTTTGGGACCAGAGAGATTAATCTCCATCGCCCATCAGCAGGAAGGATTGATGGATGTCCCTGTAGTGTACCATATATGAAGCACCAGTGGAGTATGTTGTACTATACTATTGCACTATGTGTGTGTCTAGTGCCAGTGATGTATGTGTATGGTGTATTATTATAGGTACCCCCCACCACCACCACCAATACTGAAAGAAAAAATAATAATAATAATTGATATCACAATTTCTTTTTGCATCTACACCCCAAGCATAAAACTTGACATTTTCAGGCAAAATTCCCGCATATTAACCCACAATTTTCACTCTCTCTTGAAGCCGGTCTGGCTGGTGCAATACAAAATGTGCCGGACCAGTGCAATTTCAATATAAGCTAGTCTGACGCATTTTGTGCTGAGCTGGCACAATTTTGTGTCGGCATTTTCTATTGGACCGGCACATGTTGGGCATCACATTTTTGAAATGTGAGTTAATATAGAGAGGTTTTTTGGTTAAAAAAATCAATTTTTTTACATGGGTGTGAGTGCAAAAATAAATAGCATTGAGGTTATTAAAATATATATATATATATATATATATATATATATATAGTAGTAGGGTAGGGGGGGTTA